CAACAGTAAAATGGGGCGCAAAAAGCGCCAACCCGCAAATAAGCTCAATATTCGGAGATGACTCAGACATAAATGTGATGAGGAGCTGAGCGACTGAAGGCATCATCACTTCCTGATATCATTTTGTTTTCCACTATTCCTCTTACTCACCTATTGGCGTGAATTTCCCATGATCCCAATATCATCCTGCCATGTAGAAGTCATCGAACGCAGGGACACAGCTACTTCATGAGAACAGACCCCCAGGGCCTTTGTTTCACACAATTGGCTTTGGGCCACTGAATCGACTCAACTCGGCTTAAAGAGGGTCGCTGCGCCCATTGAATCGTGGGGGTTGTCAATGGAGATTAATTGCAAAGCCTCTATAAATCGTCTTGGATCATAATTTACGACTAATCTCACCGGATCCGCCAATGTCCCTCGATAGACGTTGCCGAACTGCCCTCCACCGATCAATTCTTTCAATGTAACATGCTCCCTCTTTATCCTTGCGTCATTATTAACTGAAAACTTACTGGTTGATTCTTTACAACAGCAACAGTCACAAAAATTTTCATGCAAATGCATACCTCCGTAAGACGAATTCTGTGGTCTGTGGGCGACGGCAACTCGCAAATCGGCACTCTCACACCGTTCCAAGCCTAAATACTCAATTTGAAACTCTGGTCAGCGTTCTACTAGGGGCATGCCAAAAAAGATTCTGACAGCCACTAACCTTTCTTCTTGAAAACCGAGCTCCCCTGATTGTACATGATTTGATAACCGTCGATAAGATGTGCTAATGACTCGGCAATATCATGAGTTGCTACAGTAATCAACTGAAACGTAAAAGATATCCATAGATGGTAGAAATGAATTAGTAATTCAGGCTAGAATTGAATAGTAAGGCCTAAAACTTTAAGCCCTTTCTCACATGCAGCCAGAGTACATCAACACGAGGATTTCTTTTCCAAATGTTTTCTTTTTTTTCTTTTCAATTTCAATTTTCGATTTTCCTTCAAAAAAGAGCACTGAAGAACCGGAAAGCTCGTTTCAAGGCCGCCATCTCGTATAAATTTTTATTAAAAATTAAAACGAAGGAATACTCGCGAATGGTGAGAAAAGAAAAATGTGAAC